GGAACAACTAAATTATGCGCGTCAACAGTAGTGTGATTTCTGATAAATCACTAAAACATAACAAGTTCGATTACGAATTTGAAAATTATGTATAATTATATCAAGATTATTAAATGAATATTAAATTTGTTTTACTATAGCAGCAATTAATTTATATATTAATTAAGAGTTTTCTCAAAATATTTAAAACATGTGATATTTAAATAATACTAATGCTTTTTAGATTTCTAGTTGCCGCTAAAATAATTAGGGCGGTTACTAACTCTTCAAAAGTATCTTCAAACATTTTGTTCCATACGGCCTCTTTAAAATTTTGCAAAGACCTTACCTTAATATGAATTAGTAATTTTTCGCTAACGAAATTTATTGAAGTATTTTTAATATCAACCTTCCGAAGGGCATCAAACATAAAAGATGAATAATTTTTGCGCTTCAGATTCCCTGACCAATATTTTTTCCTCAATAATTAATTTAAAAGTGTCAAATTTAATATTTACTAATGACTTTTAGGTAGTCCGTTCAATGAGGAAAAATTTTTGAAGTGTAGTTAATAATAACCATTCGAACATCCTGTAATAGCTCGCAGCCATACGATTCGCTTCAAATTTCAGGAAGAGATCAAATTTAGTGTGTTCTAATGATTTCTTGATGTCTCGTTGGCTGAGAAATTGTTTTGGGGGTAGTTAACAACCCTTAGAAACACTTATTCTAATATCTCGACTCACAGTCATATGATTCGCTTCAAATTTCAGGAGGAGATCAAATTTAATGTATTCTAATGATTTTTTGATGTCTCGTTCGCTGACAAATTTTTTTGGGGGNATCAACGTGGATATGTTCAAACCTCGTGACGAAGGTTGAAATGAACCTGTCGGAGAAGTTACGTGTCGCGTCACTTTTGCGCGTTGACATTCGACGCAACAACGTGTCCATCGTCTGCTATCATGCTTTATTGATGGCCAGACGAAACGTTGCGTAAAGAGTTTGACTGTGACGTTAATACCGGGATGCGAAAGAACTAAGTTTGTGGAAAAGACGTGTTGACGGGGCGAGAGTTCGTTGGAGAGTCCCTCCTCGTGTGGAGTCGCTGGCAGAAGTACCTGGTCCTTGGCGCCAATCTGCCGGGGTCGTCTTCCGGGAATCGTGATCCGGGCGGCGCACGGCGTCTCGCTGAAGCTCTTGACGTTATATATATAAAATTGGGTCACTTGCAACATGTATACCCACAAATATTTTTATATTTTAAGGTATACACTATTTTGTTATAATTTGTTATATCAAAAAACTTCGAGTAATGTACGTGTTGAAGCATACTGCATATTATTCTATTTTTATAATTACAATTTTGTCGTTTATAACAGTAACTTAACAAAATTAATTGAAAAATGTTGAATAAAAAAATAAAATAAACAGTGTACCTGAACATAAACATTCCTTACTTTTTTAAAAATATGTTATATAAGTTTATTATAAATGCACGGTTTCAATCATTCAATGTGCCAACTTAAATTTCTAGTCACACTGAGGTGCTTTTACCTAAAAATATGAGTTAGCATGTTTTCCAACTGAAATTTGAGATAGCATGTTTTCCAACCGAAATCTGAGATAGCATGTTTTCGTACGAAAGCGTCGACTTATTCTAATATCTCGACTCACAGTCAGTGTTATCGTACGAGATTGATTAATTTCTCGTCTTCCTCTGGTCAAAACTTGGTTGCCATTTTAAAATTCGTTAAAAATAAACAATTTTTTAGCACTGTACGCTGTGAGCTCAACTGAACGGCGTCGAAATCAAATCGAACCGACGACGCACATAATTTTCTGCTTACCGTAAAGTCCACGTAAAGTTTTGGTTTGTTAGAACTGTGCGTCGCAGACGACATACGCACTTATCAGAATCTGTAGCGTTCAACTTTATCGGTTTTGATGGAGAGTGTTTTGTTAGATTTAGTCATGCGTATGACAAGTGCAGACGAAAATATTTATTATTTTTTTGACAATTATTTTTTTATGACAATGGTTGAATATTTTTTGCTGACAATAATTATTGAAAAAGAACATGAAAAAGATCTTTTAAATTTAATTAGTTGTCGTCGTCCAAATAAAAGTGAAGATTGAATGTTTTCTAACAGACGTTTGGAAGGAACGGTACGATGGGGGATGTTCTCGTACGAGATCGATTAATTTCTCGTCTTCCTCTGGTGATAACTTGGTTGCCATTTTAAAATTCGTTAAAAATAAACGGTTTTTGCTGTGCGCTGTGAGCTCAACTGAACGACTGCGTTGAAATCAAATCAAATTTGATTTCGACTGAATCGACGACGCACATAATTTTCTGCCGAAGCGAAGAAGGCAAAATAAGCAAGGTAGAAGTGAAATGGGGTGAGAATATCATTTAAGGTAGATGGATAATAAGTACATCTACAGATGCCCGGACTAGAAGAATTGTAAGGAATATCGGTAACTACAAAACAAAAGAGCAGGACGAAATAAATTACTACCTGTCAGAAACGTATAGCGGGCACAGAATATTTAGAAAATTTCTGAAACACTTCAAACTCTCTGAAAAGGATCTTTATTGGTTTTGTATTGATATAGATACTATGGAATACACAATGTTTATATTTCTAGAGTTTGATTAGGAAGAAATATTACGATGTAAATTGGCGAGAACTAAGAGTTGATAATTTAATAAAACAATTAGCGTGAAAAAAATGGATAACTCTAATTATAATTAAAATTAGAGAGATATATTAGAAAGAATTGAAGGTCAAAGGAGGAGGTAATGATCGTTGATGAAGTAATATTTACGAGGTTCCTCATCGGTTTCCATATTTTTTCAGCGATCACTAGCTCCAACAAAAAAAGGTGTTATGTGATTTTTCATTTAATTAAAATAATTTAGATAGATTTAGATATTCGGTATCAAAGAAAACATTTACATAAATTCATTAAATTGACTATTTAATTACGTAAAATAAAACTGATATTAAAAACTGCCTGTGATATTAGTCTAGTCACATAAACAACATCCTTGATTGCATGTTTTATTAATTTAGGTAAGGTATTTGACTAATTGTATGCTCAAGCATCTGGTTAATCAACGTTCATAGATGCTCGTAAGCCATGCGTATCCCATTAATTTCAGCAAATTTCAACTTCAAAGACAATTAATTAATTATACTTATTTAACCTCCTAAATACAAAATTCTGTATTACATATAAGTAATCTGTTTAGCTAGCAAATGTAAATATGCATAAAGCAAATTATGAGCAACGATATTAAAAGTTCTTTGGGTTATTTATTCTGTTAAAGAACAAAGTTCCAATTATGTAACAGGTTGTAATATTCACATTGATATAAACTTTGAAGTATTACTCTTTTAACAAAAAGAAAAAATCAGAAGTAATAGAGTTTTTCTAAATCGATTCTTATGATCTTTTGAAGCAAGATGCGATATACAGTTTTTAATTAGTTCCTTAAAAATGGGCTTTTCCAATAAATTTAAAATAATTATTATAATATTTTCATACTGTAGCAAAAGTGCATTTTTTTAATTATTTAATATCTAAAGTTTTAAAACCCTAAGTATTATACAGGACATTTATTTCGGAGAACTCCACAACATCTTTCTGAGACAAAAGCAACAACTAATAAAGCCAAAGTAACCCGAAGAATCTAGCACAACAAAATAAATACAAATAAAATATTGAAACTAAAATATCTTCCACAAATCTTGACGAAGATAAAAAAATATTTGATGGTATCAGTCATATTGATACAGCAAAAGAGAATAAGTATGATGTGTTTAATATTGGCATTTTTTCTAATTGCACATTTGCAGTTAATATTAATTAGTATATCATATTTATTTTGATGTTAATTAGCGCTGTTTGATTTAAAAACCAATATTATTTAATTTCAACAATTTCATTATTATTTAACTTAATTATTATTTTCAATTTTCTCTTTACCCAATTATTTTCTATATTTCCACTTTAAATAACGCTTGAATTAATTATGTGTGTATCCTAGGTCGTGAAAAGTAAATAATATAGTATTTTAATTACTTTTTGCCCATGGACTGCTAGTGACGCTTTCATGACCATTGACAGAAATAAAAAACCACTTACAAAGTTAGTAGTATGAAAATATGTTTCCTATTACTATAAACGAACTTTTAATTACATGTTCAGTTTTGAAACGCTCTTGCTCCGATGTCCAGTGCGCATCTATTGACTGGTCCAACTCACCCGCAAACTTATTCCTGTTAACTCTGTACGCATCTTGGTCATTTGCAACAGTTATTACTACTTTAGAAATAATGCTGATTGTTATTGTAGGTGTTAATCACCCTTCATTATTCCTTTATAGCCGTCTGTCAACGCATTGTCGTCCACATGGTATGTCTTGTATCATTTACTCACTAACTTTATGATGACTTATAAAATCTATTAAATAGAAAAACCTTTAGAAATAAAAAAAATAGAAAAAAAAGAAGTTAAGGACAGTGCTTGTATGATAAAAGTAGTGTGGAAAAACTGCCTACAAACATGTCATAATTTGCTTATTTGTTTAAACATAATTACTTCGGTTACTATGTCAAAAATTGGTACCTATACGGAAGTACTAGCCTGCCAAATTTCGTTTGTATAGTATAAACTCTTTCAAAGTTATTCGAAAAATAATAATTCCGCTAATTTTGACATCATTTATCAGCTACATAAATAAAACAACTTTAGAGTAAGTTTAACTAAATCGTATGTACACGGAATATTACGACATCCTATATATAATTTAACCGGCGATTCCTTTTATTTAAAAAATTGAAAGCTCTAGTGCGATAAACTGTTATCAATCCGTACGCGTTCATGATTTTATTTAAAAACGTAAACCGTTCTTATCCATTAAAATCTCTGACGACCTAAAATCCGATCGGTTCGAGATTCACCGCTCCAAAGGGAAGCACCCAATTCGTATGATATTTATAGAACTTTACCTTGTTGTTTGAAAGTCGAGGTGAAGTGTAGTGTAAACAGAATAAAAGTGAAGTGAATAAAAAAGGAAGTCCATGGAACGTCCATAGCGAAGCTTATCTGCTTTAGTCACATTGTAGTTCCCGCAGTCCTGAAACAAAAAGAACTGTGTTAGCATACGATATTGTTCCCGATTTTCACGTTGTCATTGTACAATGGATTAGGCCTAATTACATTCTTTCGCCCTTTTTCTTATTGAAAAAAAAAGGGATGACTAACGAGTGTCATCGGTTTAAATTAATTTAGGATTAATTAGGGTTGGTGTGTTCCACGGAAATTGCCAGCAAATTTTTTCGCTTCGAGGGTGTGCATACACGTGATACTATTAGAATTCCTATCTGAGAAGACTTTATCACTGATAATATTGAAGGTAAATATAAGCCAGGGTATTTATTGTTTTATTTTATTTTGTATTTATTAATGTGCAACAAAGTAAAAATTAGGATATATCAAAATATCTACTATGATTACTATGCTAAGCAGCATTAATAACACAAAAAGCAATACAATATAAAGTACACAGCAAAAAAATACATAATATATAATTCTTGAGATTATCTTTAGCCTCTGGAATAAAGTTCCGATCATAAAAACCCCAGCAGATGGTTTGTTTGTCTGTTTTTGGCCACTTTGACTCCTTTTTTTAGTATTTCGTATGTAGATGGAGTAAGAACGTAATGCTAATAGCGACGTCACCTGTTTGCAAGGAAGGTAAGCCCATGAACATACTGTCACGCCACCCGCACCCTTAACCCCCCCCCCTCCCCAAATCTGCCAAAAACTGCCTCGAAGAGGGGATTAAACGCATATATAACCTATTCCACCAAACACATCTTCATCATCAATGGAGATAAAGCCCATAAACATTATTGTCATGCCATCCACACCCCAATATCTCCCCTCTCAATGGTCAAGAACCCACGCGTCTGTGATCTGATCCACCAACCGGTTCACCTCCATCTCCGTTTCCCACAAACATAATGTCACGTTACCTCGATCCTCTCCAACCACTCAAACGCGCCCAAATCACTTCTCCTCTTCGGGACAGATTTTGGTCAATTTGACGTAATTCATATTCATGGGCTTTACCTTCCTTGCAAATAGATGACATCGTTATCCGCATTGTATACTCGATCTACACACGAAATCCTAAAAAATGGAATTAAAGGAAATTTTATTTCAGAGGCCAAAAATAACTCGTATCGAACGAGGAGACCACTTTTTAATGTAATTAGTGCATGATAGTAATAATAGTTTTTTCACGTGTTCGACAATCAAAAATTAGAATCCAGTTGCCAAATATACGAAGAATTACCTGCTAGTAGTAATATTCATATTTGTATAGCAAAGTAACAGTTTTTAAAATTAAGTTTTCATTACTTTGGAAATATGTGAAGAACAAAAAAGTAATATTTTTCTTCCACCAGTAAGATGTACGAGCAGCTAGCACCTGCGGCTAAAGCTCTGCAAAAAGTCAAATACCGTTTATGTTCAAAATAATATATGTTTCAAATTTGACAAAAAAATCTTTATTTTCAGTGGTATATCAGTACCAGTACAACTTATAAGTACGCTATTGGTTTAACTTCATTTTTCAGGAAATATTGCAAAACGAAGACTTTATCCAAGACAACATTCTTAAATTTCTCTTTCATTTGTGGCATGTTGCGATGTTGCTTCTATAATCTTAGTTAATGAACTTATGAACTTCGATATTTGGGATATACCGGGTGATTCAGTTTGGTATTCGTGGCCCTGTATCTCTTTTATTTTAACAAATAGCTATAACAAACCATATATATTTTTAAATCGCCGTTTAAACTCTATAAATGACATTATTATATCGTTGCCATGGTAACATATGTCAAAATTGCTATAGTCAACTGTTTTTGTTCAAATGGCACACTATATATTTTTTTATCAATTCTGGAAGATATATTCTTTCTGCGTTCAACTATGTAAGGAAGTCTATAGTTTTATTAGAAATATTGCTAGAAAAACAGCAAAAAAGATGCACCCTACTTTTCATAGCTTTATTCTGAAAAATGATAGCCAGCTGCGAAAACAAGTTACTATGTTTTTTAAAGTAACATATTTTATTTTTAATACGATAATAAGATAACAATTTGCTTCCAAACACAGAATAGCTCTGTTTATCACTCTCTACAAACACATTTTAGTGTTTCACCATTTAATCTCCGAAATTCTACTCTTATTCTGTTCATCAATATCATTTAAAGGCGAAGAGTAAACTTTTTCTTTTAGGTAAGGCCAAAGAGAGAAATCTGTAGGAATGAGATCCGGAAATCTATTTAACATCTTTATCGAATGTTCTTCATCTCTTACCCTTCTGGGTTTAAAAACTCTTCTTTTCTTTTGAAAACCATCTGATGCCAAATTCCTGGCTAACTTTCCGAAAATTTGATCTGATGGAAGTTGTCTCTGCGGAAAACGATGTCGGTATAAATGCTTGGCAGCTTTAGCGTTCTTTCAGAACTCTCCATAAATTAAAATCATATCTAGTTTTTCTTGGTTACTATAAGAATTCATGTTATAATAATAATAATTAGCTATAGATAGAATAGGTAGGTTCAAAATGTCAACTATTTTGAAAAACCGTTATTTAGAAACGTCAAAATTCAGTTGTTTCCGCAGCTGGCTATTATTTTTCAGAATAAACTACTGAAAGTAGGGTTATTCTTTTTTTGCTGTTTTTCTAGCAATATTTCTAATGAAACTGTAAACTTTTTTATATAGCTGAATGCAGAAAAAAAATATCTTCCAGAGTTGATAAAAAAATGTATAGTGTGCCATTTGAACAAAAACAGTTGACTATAGCAATTTTCACATATGTTACCATGGAGACGATCTAACAATGTCATTTGATACAGTTTGAGCGGCGATTTAAAAATATATAAGGTTTGTTATAGCTATCTGATAAAACAAAAGAGATACGAGGCCGCGAATATAAAACTGAATCACCCGGTATATTTCTGCTCATACTCCTTAAGCGGAAACGATATTACTACTAACGACTTGAAAGTTAAAATGAAAATTAAATTTCAAGTTTCTACAATTTTGAATCTAATTTTAAGTTCATTTTTTGAAATCAAATTTATTCTTTGTAGTCAGTGGCATAAAATATTTTTGACATGAAATCATTAAACTGAAGTTAAAAGGACACAGTGGTACAGTCGAAGTTCATGGCTTTCGATCATCTCAATTTATTGCAACATCAGGAGTGCCACAAGGTTCCATTTTAATGAATTTGCTATTAGCAATACAAGCTAAAAACTTGGCTTGAAATGTTTATTATATGGAGATGACGTTAAAAAAACATATTAAGCTACAAAGAAATGCTAAGCAAATTAGTGAATTTTGTATAAATCTATATAGTCCTAGAGATATAATATATCTTTCAGTTTTATTGAATAATATACCTACACGAGATTTTACTAATATAAATAATTAATATCCTTTATATCCTGTGTGCAATCTAAACAACTAGAATATGCGGTAGTTTGGGCTCCGGGCTATAATATCCACGCTGACAACTTAAAATGAATACAACGGGCTTACCGCACGATGATCTACTTAAAAAATATAGTTTCTCGTCACTAAAAAAGCGTCGAAATTATTCTATGTTTATGACTATTTTCAAACTAATTATTATTGTTGATTGCTTGGATATTTTACTAAAACTAAATTTTATGTGCCTCGAATAACTAAAGAAATTGTGTACTTTTTATCCTGCTGCAAGGCAGACATGCGTGAATAAATAAATGAGTAAGTAAGTCGTTAAATAAATAGACACTGTATTTTGTAAATGATAGACTAAAAATCTGATTCCATAATCTAACAGAACAGCGAAATGGTCTTAGAAATGAATTTTCTGTTTTCAGAAAATTATACGTTTTTCAAAAAATACCCTTAATTAACAAAAATATTTGAAATCCTTCTCCGGAAATTTATTATACAATAAATTATTCAACTTCATCCCAATCTAACCATTTCTCTATCTATCTGACGGTTTCCGAGATCGCAATGTTATCGCATCCTATCTGAAATGTCCCGTTTATAACTTATGTTAATAGCAAGTATAATTTAATTAACCTGTCAAATCTCCCTGAATCTCTTCTCCAAATTACATTCGACATAAAATACATTTAAATATATCAACATAACAAACCTCTTCTCTGTTTATACTAACAAATATCCAGACCCTAACAGACGTAGGTAGTAGCTAAGAATAGAAATATTCACTTAAAACGTTTCTTATGATTGATGTACCCACGTGGCATTAAAATATATGTAGGTGTATTATTAGACAGTAATATCTGAAGATCTTATCTGTGGAATAATTTATATTTAATTAAAAAGCATTTCTAGAAACAGAAACTAAATTCAAAATGCAAGTAGTTGTTTAATGAATTAATATATCGGTTGTCCCAAATTTCACGCAAGATTGCCAATGAAAAAAAAAAAGATAGCTTGACAGTTGATAGTTAGGGTTATTAAAAATAGATCGCTATACGAAAGAACAACACGTTTTCATTGTTGAGCAACTTTTCTAAAAAGATGTAGGTTTGGCAGCTACAGTTCGTAATTTCGTACAAAATATGGTCGGAATAGTGATTTAATTGCATCAACTGTGAACAGATTAATTAAAAAATTCGAGAGACTAGATAAATCTTAAACAGTCTTGGCCATCCTTCAACAAGTCTTTCAACACAAAACCTTGAAGCGGTTCATGAGTGTTGCTGAAAGTCCAGGAACATCAATTTGACACCTTGGTAAATAATTGAATATTTCGAGAAGCTCTCTATAAGGTATTCTTACGAAAGATTTGTATCTTTATTCTTACAAAGTTTGATTGACTCAAGAACTGAAGCTTACTACCACACAGAGCGAAGAGGGTTCGTTGAATTGATTATGGAATAACAAGTGGATGCTGAGTTTTCGAACAAAATCATTTTCAGCAATGAAGTTCATTTTTATGTTGCTTCATAAATCGACAAAATTGTCACATTTGGAGATCAGAAAATCCATGAGTGAGTGTTGAGACACAAATACATCGACAACGTTCACTGG